TTCTATCACGTAATCTTTCCAAAGAAGTCCTGCAGTTCCATTTACCCATGCCGGACATGTCTTTTGACAGCTGGATTCTAATCCGCTCTCAAAAAGATTTTTACCAATACCAAATTTTGCTTTACCACAGACTATTTTTTAAAAAACTAATTAACCACTGTCAAAATACAGGCCTGACCCACCAAATAAATAAGAGTAACATTCCATATTTTCAGAGACACTTATCAGTGTTGTAGGAGAATCACTGCTAAGAGAAACTACGCTGTGCTTCTCCTCAGCCTGAAGCAGCAATCTCCACGTAAGAAAGGCTACTTCAAAGCTTTCATCACTAGGGTTGTGCGAAACTAAAAACTACAAACTACACCTCTGATTTAGAGCCTCTGGTAAACTTGCAGTTTATCTAAACAACTTCCATATATTAATTCATCTTCTAGTAAACCCTACAGGTGTAGTCAAATCAAGTATGAAACCCAAGGACTGCTTTATCGCTTACAATTTCCAACTGTTCATGGAAATCTTCATTCTCAATAACTTTAATCAGTGGCTTGAGCTTCTCTTTCAGTTTCTTCCCCTCCTTTGCCGGAAGAATAAACCGCAGCCTCATGTGAGCACGTTCAATTTGCATGGTCTCCTTTAACTGCCTGATCACTTCCAGGGCCTGTAAAGACATGAAGAAGAAAGAGCATTTACACACCTGCTTAAAAAACACCGCACAGATCAAAACCTCAAATCCTTCGCATTAGCTTCCGACATATTTCTCAGTAGTGGACACTGCCACTCTGCTGCAGGGAGTTTGCTATCACGCTATTTTGATAGATTAACAAGAAAAGGCACAGCTCTTGCTGTTTGTGATCACTTCAAGTACTAAAAGAACCTGTCTGAAATAATGTTAAATAGCAGTTATACTGCGGAACAACAGGAACCCACGTGGCTCAGACGCAAAGCCTGATTTACTACCTCAATTAATATAAACAATAAACCTTTTATTTCTGTTCCGGGCATATCACTGTTGCTGCATAAATTAGTTTCTTTCTTTCTCCCTTCCCTGAACTGTTAGAAAACCAACTGCATGCGTTTCAGAGGCTGCTTGTATCCAGCATTCAACCACCAGCCAGCTGAGTAATCATTCTGCGGGCTTTAGACTGCAGGGCTTTTTTGACGCCGCTGTGACCGCTAACAGAGAAATTACACTTGAAGGCAACACTTCTGCGCAGAAGCTGATTTTGCGAGAAAACTAACCTGCTGCTTCGTGCTCTTGTGTGGTTTGACGGAGTAGTGAATATCCTTCATGGCTCTTTCTATAAGGATTACTGTGTATGGCCTCTTTGTTTCAGGATTCACACATTTGTCAGCCACAATAGTTGCGATGTCTCTAAACATCTGCTCCAACTGCGTGTGTCGTTCTTTGTCCGATACCTGCAGCTCCCCTTTTGATAAAATCTGGACAGTCAATAATAAAAAAATCAGTTAAGAAATGTCACAGATTTGACTAAAGAGTGAAAACCCCAGTAACTGTGTTAAATTTAACAACTGCTTGAATGGTTTGGTTAGACGTGAAGTGCAGAAAAAGAATAACCGTATTAATAACGTTCATCATTATGACAGACAACACTGGAAAGATTTCAGAGAAAAAAAACACCTCCGAAACAGTAAGCTACAAAAAGAGAAGCGCAGATTTACTTGAATTCTCATCACCCACAACAAGTCCACAGTTCATACCCTACCCAGAAGGACTAAGCAATTAGATCTGCTCTTAACACTTAATTGAACTGTCCCAAGTAAGGAACTGTCCCCTTCCTTTCCCTGCACCCTTAATAATATATCTTAGGTGAGAAACTCTTCAGTGCTGGTTAACTTTTCTTCTGTGTCCGCAGACATCAGTGCACAGAAGCTGTACGTTATACTGAACACTCAGAACTCTTTTCAGCCAGATGCACAGACAAAATTTAAGACTATACCACAGAGCTACCCCTCCTTTCTACCCACTTCTTGACAAACAACCCTTTCGCCTACAGCAGCACTGCATTCTGTGAAAACCTTCTGGTAACAAACCAACCTACCATGTCTGCGTGACCCTTACGTAAAACATTTGTGAAGTCTTCTCCAAGCTTTTACAAAGCAAAGTGGTCAAAACCTACCATCTTACAGATTTCTGTTTGGTCATCCGTCCCAAACGCTTGAACGAGATCTTCCTTCTTTGCCACCTGGCCTTTGGAAACATTGACAAACACCGTGTCCGTCTGCAGGACCTCGTCGAGATCTTTCTCCCTGGAGATTGGGGCAGGGTTAGAAAACCCGTGAAGTCAGCAACGTAAGAGCGTGAGAGATTTTAGCAAGGAGGAACAAGTCCTGCTGCCAAGGTCTGAATCAGTGGTGCCTGGGAACTTCAGCAGCGCCAGTATCACTCCCCAGGGAAGGTGCCTGGGCCTTCGGCAGCGCCAGTATCACTCCCCAGGGAAGGGCGGGGGCGTCGCGCCCCACCGTCCCCCCGGCCCGG